TTGTTTCAGCTTTCATACTATAAACAAGTGTCCTTTTTTACAGCCTGTATAGTGCCACATTTTCACACTTCTGTGTTTTGAGTCAGTTATTTTGCTGTTTCAAATGGCCCCTAAGCAGAGTGCTGAAGAGCTATCCAGTCTGATGTTCCCAAGTGCAAGAAGGTTGTGATGTGCCTTACAGACAAAATATGTGTTAGGTAGGAATTGCTCAGGATGAACTGCAGTGCTGCTGGCCATAGGTGGGTCCAGTGTTAATGAATCAACAGTATATATTAAATAAGGTGCTTTACATAGACACACACATAAAACATGGTTATAGATTGATCTGTTGATAAATATGTTCTGACCAAACGCTGTCAGGAAGAAAATTTTGTATTTCCCCCAAGACCAGTGGTTCAGTATTTACTAATCTCCCATTTTTAGTGACTTTATAGAACATAAATACCCCATGTAATGAGAATTAACTGTATCTGTTATTTCTGTATGCTGAGCACTTAATGTTTAGTAGATGGCCCAAGAGTTTATGAGCAAATGCCTGAATATAGGGAATTGGGAGGAATAAATCAGCTCATTGGAAATGTTAAAGACTGAGTTCAGGAGTCAGGCGTTTTTTTAATTTAAATTTTATTTAGTTAACATACAGTGCAATACTGGTTTCAGGTATAGAATTCAGTGATTCATTACTTATATAAACACTCAGTGCTCATCACAACAAGTGCCCTCCTTAGTACCCACCTCCCCTCACCAACCCTGTTTTTTCTCTATCATTAAGAGTTTCTTGTGGTTTGTTTCCCTCTCTCCTCTCCCCTTCCCCCCCATGTTCATCTGTTTTATTTCTTAAATTCCAAATATTAGTGAGATCATAGGGTATTTGTCTTTCTCTGATTTACTTACTTCGCTTAGCATAATACATTTTAGCTCCATCCACGTCATTACAAATAGTAAGATATTCTTTTTGATGGCTGAATAATATTCCAGTGTGTGTGGGGGGGTACATCTTCTTTATCCTTTCATCAGTTGATGAACATTTGGGCTCTCTACATAGTTTGGCTATTGTAGATAATGCTGCTATAAACATTGGGGTGCATGTACCCCTTCAAATCTATATTTCTGTATTCTTTGGTTAAATACCTAGTAGTGCAATTTCTGGATCATAGGGCAGTTCTATTTTTAGTTTCTTGAGGAACCTCCATACTCTTCTCCAGAGTGGCTGTACCAGTTTGCATTCCCACCAGCAGTGCAAGAGGATTCCCCTCTCTCCACATCCTTGCCAAGAAATGTTGTTTCTTGTGTTGTTAATTTTAGCCATCCTAACAGGTGGTATCCCATCATGGTTTTGATTTGGTTTTTTTCCTGATAATGAGTGATGTTGAGCATCTTTTCATGTGTCTTTTGGCCATCTGGATATCTTATCTGCAAAAGTGTCTGTTCATGTCTTCAGCCTATTTCTTAACTGGGCTATTTGCTTTTTGGGTGTTGAGTTTGATCAGTTCTTTAGAGAGTTTGGATACCAACCCTTCATCACATATGTCACCTTGCAAATATATTTTCCCTTGGTAGGCTATCTTTTACTTTTGTTGATTGTTTACTTTGCTGTGCAGAAGCTTTTTATCTTGAGGTCCCAATAGTTCATGTTTGCTTTTGTTTCCCTTGCCTTTGGTCACATGTCTAGTAAGAATTACTGTGGCCAAGGTCAGAGATGTTGCTGCCTGCAGTCTCCTCTAGGATTTTGATGGTTTCCTGTATCACATTTAGGTCTTTCATCCATTTTGAATTTTTTTTGTATATGATATAAGAGTGGTCCAGTTTCAGTCTTTTGCATGTCTCCATCTAGTTTTCCTAGCACCATTTGTTGAAGAGACTGTCTTTTTTGCATTGGATATTCTTTCCTGCTTTGTCAAGATTAGTTGACCACAGGGGCGCCTGGGTGGCTCAGTCGGTTAAACGTCCGACTTCAGCTCAGGTCATGATCTCGTGGTCCGTGGGTTTGAGCCCCGTGTCGGGCTCTGTGCTGACCGCTCAGAGCCTGGAGCCTGTTTCAGATTCTGTGTCTCCCTCTTTCTCTGACCCTCCCCCATTCATGCTCTGTCTCTCTCTGTCTCAAAAATAAATAAACGTTAAAAAAAAATTTAAAAAAAAAAAGATTAGTTGACCACATAGTTGTGGGTCCATTTCTGGGTTCTCTATTCTGTTCTATTGATCTATGTGTCTGTTTTTGTTCCAGTACCATACTGTCTGATGAGTATAGCTTTGTAATATAGCTTGAAGTCTGGAATCCTGATGCCTCCAGTTTTGTTTTTCTTTTTCAGGGCTGCTTTGGCAATTCAGGGTCTTTTGTGGTTCTATACAAATTTTAGGATTGTTTGTTCTAGCTCTGTGAAAGATGCTGGTGGTATTTTGATAGGGATTGCATTAAATGTGTAGATTGCTTTGGGTAGTATGCACATTTTGACTATGTTCTTCCAGTCCATGAACATGGAATGCTTGTTCATTTTTTTGTGTCCTCTTCAGTTTCTTTCATAAGTGTTCTATAGTTTTCAGAGTATAGGCCTTTCACCTCTTTAGTTAGGTTTATTCCTAGGTATCTTATTGGTTTTGGTGAGGAATCAAGATTTTACTACCATATGGGCAATAGGAAACCATTGCAAAGTTTCTCCTGGGAGTACACACATTTATTGAATATGCTAGGTGGTGTGATGGACAGAATGAGTATCCCTGGGGCCCTGCTCTCCAGGAGCTATTACAGAAGCTCCAGAAGCTCCCTTAGGAAGATTAATGTCAGAGGAATTTATAGGCTGGATGGACCTGAGAGAAATTGAAGCCCCCAAATCAAGGGTGCAACTACAATAGCCATCCTGATGTGAGGTGGTAAAGACCAGAATTAGGGTGTTGGCAGGAGGAGCAGGGACGTAAGGGGCAGATACTTGGGTTATCCTGAAGTAAAAGTCATCAGTAAATAACTTGAAACAGAGAATAAGGAAAATGGAAAGGACAAAGTTAAACCCTGAAGTTTGCTACCCCCTGACTTTGTTAGCTCCTATATTTACAAATGTGATTCAATCATGTTTTCCTCATCTAAGGTTATTATTCTGTGCTGTGCTGAGTCTTTTAAGGCATCAGTTAATGGGGTCACAATCCTCAGCCCTTACAACTACGCAGCCACTGAGTTGCCTAAGGCTTCAGGTAATGGTTGGGGACAATAGATCTAGCTTTACAATTAATAGTGAATTTTAATAGTTAATTGTGAAATTTTGCCTGGGGGGCCCACACTGAATCCCTCCTTTAAGAAAACCTGGGGATGCATGGGGTGCTCAGTCAGTTGGGCATCCGACTTTGACTCAGGTCATGATCTCGCAGTGAGTTCAAGCCGCACATCAGGCTCTCTGCTGTCACTGTCAGTACAGAGCCTGCTTCGGACCCTCTGTCTCCCTCCATCTCTGCCCGTCCCCTGCTCCATGAGCTCTCTCTCAAAAATAAATAAACATTAAAAAAAAACCTGGAAAGGTGTGTCATGCAAATGACTTGTGCTGTATGTCAAGTTATGTCCAGCACTGTACAGTTAAATATTACTAATGCAAGTTTTACTGCTACATTTACAAGAGGGCAGGACAGACCTATCGTTCATTGAGAAATTGCATGTGAATAAATACAGAGACCCAAGGATCAGCAACAATTATGCTTTCAGTGGTATATGTAAAGCAGTAAGATTGTTTAACTTTGTAAAGTAAATCTTTCACTGTGAAGTGCTCAGTCTCTTTACATTTTCCATCAGTTGAGAAATCAAACTTTTTCCGTCAGCAGAAAACTGACAGCTATTGACAGAAAGCTTTAGGTTTAGAAAGCTGAAGTTAAACTTTGTGTTAAAATACTTTCTCAATGTGCATTTTTCTTACTACAAGTCATTCTCTAAGGAGACAATTTATGTCTTACTATAAGCTACTTGCATTAACAATTATTTTATAAGGTTATGCAAAACTGATCTCATACTTGGACCCTTTGGAGTGATACATTTTTCCCCCTGGCAAACTCATCTCAGATAATCAAGAAATGTAGTCGTCTTTATGTCAACTTTCAAAAAAGAATTTGAATGGCATTCTAAGCTGGTAGTATTTATTCTGTCTGGGGCTAAATACTACATGTGTTTAACTCAACTTGAGATTAAAAATCAAAGGAGTTTTGATGTTTTTTTATCTTTTTTCATCTGCGTTGAGTTTAACGTATCTTTCCGAACAAAGCCATGTTTGTCGAGGATATTAAGTTTTGTTTGGCCACCTTCTCAACTGCAAGTACTCAATGGACCTTAATGCAAGGTTATGCTCCCTGGACTGATTGATATATAAACAGAAGACAGATGGTGTAGAGATGACTCTGATGATAATTCATTTTTCAGCTAGTCATGAAGATATTTTGATTACAGTGTGTTTAAGTAATTATAACACAGTCTGCAATGTTAGTCTTGCTGGGAAGGAACCACATGGAAAACAAGTTACGTGTTATCCGTGCCTAACAAAGGGTGCACTGTGGTGTAATGATTTTAATTCCTAATGCTAGATTAGGACTGGAGGAGTTTAAAATATGTCATATGGTAAGGTAAGTCAATTAAACATAGACCAAATAAAAAAGGTAACTTCACAGTTTTGAGGCATAAATATTTGTTTTGGAAAGTATATAGATGTTACTATATGAAAGAAACCAGTATTTTGACATTTAGGTAACAGTCTGTGTACTGCTAATTAAAAAATTACATGGCTTGATTTTGAGTTTATGTGAATCATAATTATCACAGAGCTTGCTTTCTGTGTCATGAATTTAAAACCGAAATCCACACTGACAGTTCAGCAGCATGTTATATTCCTGCTATTGTTAAACTTTTGGGGAAAAAAATCTAAGCAAAATGTTAAAAGGAGAAAAGTAGAGTTGTGTGGATAGAAAGGCCATTTAAGTTTTCATTTTCAGATATTAATTAAAATTTATGCTTCTGTTTTTGGCTTCACAAATAGGATAATTGATCGCTTAGATGGAGTTCGTTTGTTGTGGTCCCTCCTGAAGAATCCTCACCCAGAAGTGAAGGCCAGTGCAGCATGGGCCCTCTGTCCCTGCATCCAAAACACTAAGGTAAGAACAGACTGCAAATCAGCCCATTCTAAAATATCTAATACTGTATTGAATAATGTCATCACAGGTCACTAGTTACTTTCAACTTAATTTTGGTCCAACTCATCTGGTAGAAAAGTGCTGAATGTTTGTGGCATATGAGCAATGCCTTTTCCTGGTTAGTTTTTAAATGCCAAATCAAACTAGGCTTAGGTGGCAGTGCTTACCAACTTCTGCCTGGCTGGTGCAATTGAAACAGGTACCCCAGGGGCACTGGGTGGCTCAGGTAAGTGTCCGACTTCAGCTCAGGTCATGATCTCACAGCTTGTGGGTTCGAGCCCCGCATCGGGCACTGTGCTGACCACTCAGAGCTTGGAGCTGCTTCAAATTCTGTGTCTCCCTCTCTCTCTGCTCCTCCCCCACTCTGTCTCTCTCTCAAAAATAAATAAACGTTAACAAAGAAAAAGAAAAAGGTACCCCAGGTAAAATCAAGGGGAAGAAAAGTTGACTGTTCTTATCTCTTGGGTGATAAGAAAATTGCCTGTGTTTACCTGCTACTTTAAGAAGCATAAAATTGCTTCTATCTTATTTATATAGCCTGAAATATGACAGTGAAAGATCACTAAGTTCTTTGTTACCTTGAAAAAGTCAAATAATTTCATGAATTCCACTTTTCTTAGCTGTCAGTAAATACTGGATATAAAGCCCAAAAATAAAATTTTTACAAGACAAAAAAAAAAAAAAAAGACTGAAAGTTTCTGAAGTCTTTTAGCTCTTCATTTGTAAATTTTATTATTTTCTTTAAAGATCCCTTTTCAGCCTATTTCTATTATCTTAAATTTTTTTCTATAGATTTGGAGATTGCCTTTTCAGTTCCTGGTTGCTAGAGATATTTTTCTCTGTTGAACATTTTTATCTAAAGGATTTTATTCCTGTAGTAAATCTAACGTGACTCTGAATATCATCCTAAATATTTGTGACTAGCAATAATCTTTTGTAAAAAGTGAATTGTGGTGTGTACTAATAATAGAAGGAGACCTGTTACAAACTGGTGAATAGAACTATTTTTTTTATAGCAAGGACATAAAAATAAGAACACCTCAAGTGTCAACCTACAGGAAAATGGACAACAGGATGATACTATGGTCATACTGTATCATACAGAGCAGCAGTAGAAAAGGAATGTATTTCAGTAATGGATTCATCAATATCAGCACACCTCATAAACATATTGCACAAAAAAACCCCAACTTTCAGAAGTAGATACACAATGTAATTCCTATTCTGTAAGGTCCAAAGAAAAATTTTAAATGCAGAATTTAAATACTGTTTAAGGAGCAAGGAAGAACCTACTGAGGAAATACCACTACCTATCTTTGAAGGATATCCTTATCAGTTACCTGAGCTAATCAGCCCAGTCCTTCACTTATAAATATGAACAACTAAGGATCACCAAATATTTAAGGAAGACTAATGGTACTTAAGACAAGCCAGTACTAAAAAGCAGAGTTAACTTCAGAGGAAACAGAGATAATGTAAGGAACAGACTATAACATGAAATTTTAAAAATTTATATCCTCAGAATGAGCAAAAAATTTAGATCCTCAGAATGACCCAAGGGGAATAAATACTATACCTAAAATGGCTGTTATTAAAAAAAAAAAAGATACATTTATAGATTAACAAAGGCTTTTGGAAATTAAAAACATTTGAGAAAACAATAAATTTAATAGAAGAGACAAATATTAGGTATGACTGAGTAGTTATCTGCAAGTTTAAGTCTACTAAATAATAATGTAAAGTAAAAGTCAGAAGAAAACAGCACAAGAAAATACATGAAAGGAAAGAGAGCAGTGGAAGGCTAGAAAAAATCATCATAAAAAAAAGGGAAGCATCTGTAAATCGAGGAGTCGAAGAAAGAGTCTAGTCTTCAGTTTGAGAAGATGCACTTAGTGCCAAGCAGAAAATACAAAGAGAACTATCTATACCTAGACACAAATTCAAATACGGTGTTTCCAGAAATTAGAGGAAAGGAAAAAATTATATAAGAATAAGGATCACACCAGTATTAGACTCAAAATTGTTCACAATAAATTGTAAAAGAAAATGGAACAAATCCTCTACTGTCTTTAGAGGAAGGTATTTTTATCCTGGAATTCTATATCCTATAAAAACTAGCATTCAGGTGAGTATGGAGTAAGAACAGAATAAAGACCTTTTTCTTTTAGAAATGTCAAGACTCAGGAAGCTTATTCTCCATAAACCTTCTGTGAAAAAATAAAAATAAAAAACTGTAGACTATCTTCCAGCAAAACAAAAGACTCTAAGAAGGAGAATAACATTAGTTATAGAAACAATAATAAGCAAATAACTCACTGGAATTGAGTTAAATATAAATTTGTGTTGATAATATGGCTTTCAAATTTTATAAAGTTTTTAAAAAAGAATTTCTTTAAAATAAAGAAATGACATAAAGTAAAATAAAAGCAGACAGTATAATCACAGTAACAATCTGAATTTAAACTACCAGATGATTCCAAAAACATGTTACATAGTGTAAAGTAATAGGTAAACACATAATAAAGGTCTTTACTTTTCCTGGAGAAGGATGTTATAGATACTGGTTCATTCTCAATCATCATCAAAAATAAAATCTTATTTAAATATACAGTTTAATTTTGTTTCATCGATGAGATGCCATTGTGTCTATATAGATACAAAATGAACATAGTGCTATTATTATGTGTAAATTGTGTCCTTTATTCTTGTGGATTTTTAACTCCAAATCTGCCTATTTATCTATTGCTAGCTGTAAAAAGACAAAGACATTGTGTAAGAGACATTTTAATATTTTAATTTTTATTATTCCTGCCTAGGATTTTTTTTTTTAAGAAAAAGTGAGAGCAGGGGAGAGGCAGTGAGAAAGGGAGAGTATCCCAAACCGGCTCTGCACTGTCAGTGTGGAGCCCAATGCAAGGCTTGAAGCCAAGAGTTAGATGCTCAACCAACTGAGCCACCCAGGCACCCCCTGTCCAGGATATCTGTCCTGAATATCTGACTGGTCTCCTGTGCTAGCAACCTAAACTGAACCATAGTCAGACACAACCCAACATGTTTGTCTTTCAGCCCTTGGCCCCAGGGCCTAGACTGGATCCAAGCCTCCGTAAAGAGTTCCTACTTGTTCACCTCTGTTGAATCTTACCTGCCCTCTGCACATTCTCTACTGCTACTACCTTAGTGTCTTTGAATTTTTCTTAAGAAGAGGACACCTTGGCCCCCATCTTATCACTCCTGATAGAAAACAGACTCACGATCTCTGCTTGTTCACTACTCTTTTTTTTTTTTAATGTTTATTTTTGAGAGAGAAAGACAGACAGAGTACAAGTGGGGGAGAGGCAGAGAGAGAGAGGGAGACACAGAATCCAAAGCAGGCTCCAGGCTCTGAGCCTTCAGCACAGAGCCCGACGTGGAGCTCAAATTCACAACCTGTGAGATCATGACCTGAGCCAAAGTCAGACACTTAACCAACTGAGCCACCCAGGCGCCCCGATTGGTTCACTACTCTTACCAATAACTACACTCTTCTGTACGCATTATCATTTAGGTAACATGAACATTTGAAGAATTTTAAACAAGGAAGTGATGTGAGCATATTGGTTAATTAGAAAATATGAGTGGGTGACTAATTAGGCTATTGCAGTGGTTCAGGTGAAAGCAGTTAGAATCTGACCTAACACAGTGCCAATGTGGGCAAACAGGAAGAGTCAATATAAGAAATAATTGTGAAGTAGAAATCAGAAATTGGTGTATGATTGGATGTTGGCTGGGAGAAGGAGATCAAGAGAGAGTTTGAGGGGTTTTTTGTTTGTTTTTATATTTTAACTTTGTCAACTAAGAACTAGTAACTTTAAAAACATGAGAACATGATTTGAGGAAAAGATGGCAGATTTGTTTTCATCTAGATAGACATAGCCAGTCACTTGAGTATATGAATCTGGGTGTCTGGAGAAAACTCAGGACCAGAGATGGATGGATATGTGAGAATCATCAACATACCAGAGGTAGCTGAAGTCTGAAGGGTAGAGGACAGGCAGAGGGTGTGGAATAAGGGAAGAAGGGTAATGATGAAGAGGAGTCATAGAAGAAGACTAAGGAGTGATAGGTAATAATCAAGAGAGGGTTGGGGCGCCTGGGTGGCTCAGTCGGTTGAGTGTCCGACTTTGGCTCAGGTCATGATCTCGCGGTTCGTGAGTTCGAGCCCCTCGTCGGGCTCTGTGCTGACAGCTCAGAGCCTGGAGCCTGCTTCCGATTCTGTGTCCCCCTTTCTCTCCGCCCTACCCCTGCTTGTGCTCTGTCCCTGTCTTTCAAAAATGAATAAACATTAAAAAAAAAAAAGAGAGAGGGTGACAAGAAAGCCAAAAAAGGAAACAAATTCAAGAAAGGGGGGAGCATGTTCAATAATATCATTTGCCCCTAGGAGGTTATTTACCTTTGAAAACCAAAACAAGTATGAAAAAATATGAAAAAATAAGTGATCATTGTTCATAGACATTTTAATTGAGAACAGAGAATTTAAGTCAAATGGCAGTGAGGTAAGAAATAAGGGGAGAAGTAGATGTAAAGATAATTAATAGTTCTTTCTAGAAGTTTAGCTGTTAAGAGGAGACAGTATGAAGTTTAGAAGACACCTAAAGGAATGATTAGTATAGGAAAGGTATGAGAGGGAGGGAGAGGGTGTGTGTGTAGCAGATATGGAAGGGAAGAAGGAGAGGGAAGGGAAGGAGAAGGGAAGGGAAGGAGAAGGGAAGGGAAGGAAGAGGGAAGTGAAGGAAAGAAAGGGAAGGGAAGGGAGGGAGGCATGAAGCAAGGAAGGAAGGAAAGCTGTCACTATTCCTTAATCTTATAAAGCATCATCACTGAATTCAGAAGTGAGAAAAATATCAAAAGAATCTGAATTAATACCCTTATGTGAATTTTAAAAAAATGAAGTCAGACTTTTCCTAATTGACAATAAGTAAAAT